GAATGAGTGCTATAAATGAGAATATGCTAAAAAATTGTTGAAAAGGAAGACATAAATGCTGTGAACTGTTGAAAAATGTTATGGCTACAGATATAACTAGAGAAATGCTTAGGCTGCAGATATAACCGGAGAGATGGTAAAATATGAATGTGGTTTGTTGATGGAGTTGTTGTATAACTTGTTTAACATGCGAAAACTGCATCTATGTCTAACTAGAAAAAAATTATTGTTCCTTTATACAAAGGGAAAGATAGCAAGAATGAATAAAAACGGGGGGGGGGGTGTCTTTCTTAAGCATTCCTAGAGATGTTGGCAAAACTCTTGATTGAAAACATATTGGAGGTCACAATAAGCAAAATTTGGGAAGTGCTGTGTGAGTTTATAGTGGATATGGAATGTGTAGCCTCAATGAGAAAAAGGAAACTTACTGTATGTTTGTTGATTTAGAGAAAGCATATTAAAATGTGAATATGCTTGAATTATGGAATGTTTCATATGGAACTGAAGGTTGGTCATCAAATGCTATAACAATGGTATATGATGGGAGTAAAACATGCATGAGAATAAATGTATTGCTTAGTGAATGGTTCAACAATGAGCAGGGAGTAAAACAAGGATGTATGATGTTATTTAATGGATAAATATAAAATAAGTGCTTGCTGTGATATTAGAAGTACAGTATGTTGGTTAAGACTGTGAATGTACATGTATTTTTATAAGCAGATGATGCTATGTTGTTGGCTGAGAACCTGAAGGATTTGCAGCAAATCTTAGAACATGTGATACAGTGAGTATGGATCTGAAAATTAATGTGCCAAAAATAAATGTAGTTATGTTTGACAGAAAAAATGGAGTGAATGATTGCAAATTATATATAAATGATGAAAAATTACAGCAACTAGATGAGTTTGTGTACCTTGGTTCTTTCATCTAGATGATATTAAGTAACTGATACCAGAAGCTTACAAAATGTCCTGAAAGACATAATAGATGTTTAGTTTTTTGTTTTTGTTTTTTTAAGCTATATGTAAGGGGGTATATAGTATGCTAGCATGCAGCACACTTTTACAAATACAAATACAAAATACTTTAATGACCAAGTATAAAATATATACAAGGAATTTGTCTTCGCTGAAAGACATAATAGATGTTTAGTTTTTTGTTTTTGTTTTTTTAAGCTATATGTAAGGGGGTATATAGTATGCTAGCATGCAGCACACTTTTACAAATACAAATACAAAATACTTTAATGACCAAGTATAAAATATATACAAGGAATTTGTCTTCGGTGACGAACAGCAAGATCAGAAGATTAGGAATATTTTCTCAGAAGTAAGTACCAAGTAAGTAAGCATAATGTATTCTAGTTTGGATTACAACTCGCACAATACTTTGCCTTTGGCCAAGCTGTATGGCAATGATGCAGATTTCAAAAAATAAGTTTTTTAAATGCACAAAGAGCAAAACAAAAAAGGGGGAGGGGAGAAAAAAATACAGCTCTCATTTCCTAATCAAAACTAATTTCACACACACAAAGAAGCTGAACATTTATAAAGACCAATTACTCTTTCAGAGCAAAATTAATTTGAGAAATAATTTCTTTCTAATAGGTAGCTACTGTATAAGAAAATCATGTCATATGAATCAGTGTTGCATTTTCAGTATCAGATCTCTAACGGTTAGCTGCACTGGTCAGTTTCTTCCTGAAAAGATGTCCAATAGGCACAAAATAATATTTTTGGTTGAATTAGCTGTAAATTTAAATCTGCAGATATTTGCTATATAGATCCCAGGAATAAGTTAAAATCCATAACGTGCAGGACGTTAAGATGTCTATCCCTGTTTAATTGTTCGCAGTTTATTTGAATATTAT